GGGCTTCCCAGAGAAGACCCGGCAGGAGGCGAGCAGAAGAGGCCCTTGCAGCAAACACTGTTCTGGCCCCAGCTTGGTGCATTGGGAATGGTGGAAAAATGACCCCACAACAGGCTTCCCATAGGAGGTTCACAGAAAGAAGTGCAGTATCATTTATACAGATGCAGTTGGAGCCAGGAGGGGCCCACTCACCTGTGGGATGGTGGGTAGCAGTTTGGTGAAGGCTGGATGGCAGGAGGTAACTGGGAGTGTGCCCTTTGCGCAGGAGGGCAGAGCAGAGTGAGTTCTTGCCACAGCCCAAGTCTGAGCCAGGCTTTGAGCTGGAGCACGCAAGCTCCTGAGCTGGCCACACTTGCATGTGGCTGCTGTTGGGGAGCGGGGAGGGCCTGGGGCGTGGGTGCTGAGGCGGATGGGGGGCTTGGATGGAGGAGAGAGAGCCCTGTGCTCCCCTCCCGGCTGGCTCTCTGAGGGAACATGCTGTCCCGCCCGGGCCTGCGGCTTGGGCAGGAGCAGCTTGTGGGACGCTGTGTTCCCTGATAAGATGAGGCAACTGCTCTCACTCTGCGCTGCTCCGCTCATGGCCTCGCTGTGGCGCCAGGGAACATTTATGTAACTCGCAGCCCTGAGCAGCCGCCCCACCCAACCCCACCTCAGTCCCCAACCCCCACTCTCCCCACGACTCCGCGAGGCCCCCAACCCTGCATCCCCGGCCATGCAGCTTGACACCCGAAGAGTTCCTCGCTGCCTGGCACCCACAGGACCCCCAAGCCCCAGCCTGGCCTGGTCCGGCCCCTCCCCCATCTTCCCACTGTCCCCCCAGCCCTCCTGCAGCCTCCCTTACAGGCTCCTGGGCACCTAGTCCCTCTCCAGGCTTGACCCCAGGCCCCCTCCTCTCACCCAGTCTCCTCACAAGGCTTAATCCCACCTTGTCCCAGGGCCCCCACCCTATGCACAGGAGCAGGCACACACAGCCAGGACCCTGGATACCCCCACCTGGGGAGCTGGAGTGGCTCTGGGATCCAGCAGGAAGGCTAGAAGCTACTCTGCAGGGGTCTGGAATCTCCTACGTGTTCTAGAGGGAGCCCTGTCCTTTTGAGTCCCTGTCATACTGTCTCTGTATCACATGCCTGGGAGGAGGCAGATGCAGGGTTTTAGCCCAGCACAGAGGGTGCTTGGTTTGTTGAGTCCAATGGGCTCCCTTTGCCTTAGAATGGGAGTTGGGCTCACTCTCTGAAGGGCGGGGCTGGCTGCCCCCCACCTCATTGGGTGCCCTGCTGCACTCACTGCTGGGCTGCACAGCCCCCGGAGTGTGTCCCCAGAACAGGTTTTAGAGCGAATCTGGAGACCACGTGTGGGGCCTCGAGCTCAAAACTTTTCATGACAATAGCACTGTTTGCCTCTTGCTCCCAGGGAGTGCAGTAGGATATTGCAGGTGCTACAGGGAGGTGTGACGGCACTGTCCCTCTCAGAGTGACTGGAATGTGGCTTGGTGGAAGACCTTGTTTTGATTTCTAATTTTGAATATGATGAATAGCAGGGGCTCTTGCCCACATACACCAAAGCTCCTGGGGCTCCTTGCTGACCATGTGGGTGAAAGTGCCCTGGCATGCTGCTCCCTGTTCACGCCCTCACCTGTTGCCCTCTCTGGGCTGCTCCTTGTCAGCCTCCTGGGTACTGCCTGAGTGTCACTACCAGGAGACCCGGCCAGACCCAGTGCTGGTCTTGCCAGTTTGAGCCATAACTCGAGTTTGGGGGCCAGTTCATTGGCCAGAGGAGCAGAGGATGGAGCCGCTGTGGGGGCCACATCTGCCTGGGTCAGGACTGTGTCTCTGGGCCAGGCACCCGTATGTGCCCTGTCCTGTCAAACCATAGAACTCTTGATGTACAGGGAGGCTGAGCGCTGTGCTGGTGGAGTGGCTTCGCTGGACACCACCTGCCTCTGCTCCAGGCTGCCTGGCACCGGTGTCCCATTCGTGGATGCTGCAGTTCCTGCGGCATCGTGTGGCCCACCCGTAGCTGTGCGCACCTCACATGCTTCCCCGGCCTGCAGGCAGAAGGAGCTAAAGGACAAGGCTCCTCACAAGGGCTATTAAAAAGCAAGGCTCAGTCTGAATTCGGCTTGGCTTTCCCCCCCTCCCAACAGGCCCAGATCTGGGGAGACCCATTTGACAGGGCTAATGACTAAGAGCAACAGTAACAGTGGAGATTTTAGGAGTGCACATTTGGAACGTGCCAGGCACTGGGTTGAGGCGCACCTGTGTCAACCCCCAGGAGGATGGGGCAGCGTGCTTACTTCCTGGAGCTGCTGTCACACATTGCCACAAACTGGGTGGCTGAAAAGCAACTGAAACTCACTCTCGCAGTTCCAGAAGTGAGGAGCCTGAAATCAAGGTGTTGGCAGGGTTAGTTTCTTTCAGAGGCTCTGAGGGAGAATCCGCTCCCTGCCTCCCCTTCCGTCCCTTGCCCACTTTCTCCCCATTTGCTCTTGCTCCCTTTCTCCTCTCACTCACTCCCTCCCCTCGTCCCTACCTTCCACACTTGGGAGCTGCTGTCCAGATCCTTACCTGATGACATCCGCAAAGACCTTTCTCCAAATGAGGTCACATGCACAGGTTCTGGGGGTCATGACTTGGCTGTATCTTTTTGGGGACCATTATCTCCCCTACTGCAGGCAGCAAGGAATTTGTTTGGACCATACTGTCACAACTCAGTGCAAACAGGTTCTGAACCTCATCTGTCAGACCTGACATGGCTAATACTAAACCATTTATTTAATGCTGGGCTTCCCTAGGCATTTAATGACAGTATGCATTCTGAATCTCCAAGAGTGGAATTACCATGCAATGTTTTCACTCTTTGGTTGATGAAATTTTTTATTCTGGAACTGATGAAGCTTTATACAATGATAACGTTTCTTTGAACATATTTTGGGAAATATTGGACTAGATATATAAAGAATTAAACATTTCTTTTTATTGTTATGAAAGAAACAAATGTGTATTTTTTTAAAAGACCCAAGTCGGACATGTGGCTCACGCTTATAATCCTAGCACTTCGGGAGGCTGAGGAGGATGCATCACTTGAGGTCAGAAGTTCAAGACCAGCCTGGCCAACATGGTGAAACCCTGTCTCTACTAAAAATACAAAAATTAGCCGGGCACAGATGGGCACCTGTAATCCCAGCTACTCAGGAGGCTGAGGCAAGAAAATTGCCTGAACCCAGGAGGTGGAGGTTGCAGTGAGCCGAGATCACACCACTGCACTCCAGCCTGGGTGACAGAGCGAGACTGTCTCAGATTAGATAGATAGGTAGGTAGGTAGGTAGGTAGGTGAATACATAGATACATACCCATAACAGAGAGCTTGCAACAAAAAACATGGTCTCACCAGTCCAGCCCCACTCCCTAGAGAACAATACTTCTTTTCTGATTTTAGTTGTCTTGATGGTTACTGCCATAAATAAACTGTATTATTGCTGTTTCTTGATTTATCAAATATAGGTATTCTCTGTTATCCTCCTGCCATGAAATTTAAGGATTTACCTCACTCCTATTCCTCCCCTCCAACTCTTCCTAAATTGATGGATGTATTATTTTACTTATTTTGTTGACAATCCTTGTAATTTTAAACCTCTGTGTTTCACTTAGACATGTCCTTGTTCTCTGAGTGCATTCCCACTTTTCTCTTAAATCCATGTTCTCTTCTGGGCCCATAGGTCCGTTGTGTGGCCTTTGTTTATAGGATTGGTTCTAAAACACTGACAGCTAGTGCTAAGGTTAGCATGACCACACTGTGTAAAGTTTCCATCAGCAGGGCCTGTGCTGGGATTACATTTCCTGCCACTACCTCGTAGACTTGTTGTGAAGGATAAGTAATAGAGCATAGGAAAAACCCCTAGAACTGAGCTTGGCTCAAAGCTCTTGACTCATAATCATGTGGCATTTTAGTTTACATGTAATTTGAACCACACGTTTTTTGTATGTCTTCTATTTTTCCTGGAGTTTCTAATTGCCTCTCTTTTTTCTTTTAAACAAAGAGTAATAATGTGCCTTTACTGTGTCCTGAAGTTTATCCAGCCTTATGGATATGGGGGGTGAGAAGGGATGAGGCCAGTTTGGAAGGGCAGCCCTGCAGCCACCCCTAATGCCAGAAGGGCTGCTTTCTGGGGTGCCAGAGCCCCCCACCCTGGTTCTTCCTGAGCAGTTGATGTCATTTTTGTGGTTGAGAGTTTGCCAGGGTAAACGCTGGCCTGTCTCCCGCTCTAAGTGAGGGATGGGAAGGAGGGAGCAGCAGCCTGAGTATAGCCCATCTTCGTCACCTCCCATCCCCACTGTGTTCCGCTGCCTCCCCTCCTGCACAGGCCCCTGATGGGATTCTCTGGGCTGCTGTCTGTCACCACGTTTGGGTCTGCGGGAACCTGTCTCATTCTCTTGCTCTGCCAGCCAACCCTGGTTGGCCACTTCAGGACTTGCGTGAGAGAAAGAGGGGCAGACTGGTTGTAGAATTCCAGGCCCTGGAGATCCCCGAGGCTGACCCTGTCACGTTACAGACTAGATGGAGAATTGTCTTCCTGCCCTGCAGAGGTCCAGAATGTGGCTCCCATGAGCAGCAGGGGTGCCTGGACTCCAGGAGGCCTGTGAAGCCAGGGCCTGGGCCTGTCATGCCCATGCGTTGGGGACTGCTGGCCCTGCCTGGTGTGTGGTGCTTCCTGCTTTGTGGGGTACTTAGGGGGTCCACTGCCAGGAGCCTGGGCCCTGCAGTTCACCTGCAATGCTGTTTTATCCTAGGCCGTGTCCTCTTCCTCCATCGCAGGCGTGGGCGGAAGGGCAGGGGCCCACCTTCATCTCTGCTCTGAGGGATTTGTCACGGAAGCTCTTGGAGGTGGGGCACGTGGCAGGGGCGATGAGCGGCTGGGGTGTTGGGCGTCGCGGGCCCTTTCCCAGAGAGAGTGTGCAGGCGGGGACCGGCCAGATACTGATGCCCTGCCCCTGTGCCCACAGGTGAGAGGCCCTTCGCCTGCAGCTGGCAGGACTGCAACAAGAAGTTCGCGCGTTCCGACGAGCTGGCGCGGCACTACCGCACGCACACGGGTGAGAAGAAGTTCAGCTGCCCCATCTGCGAGAAGCGCTTCATGCGCAGCGACCACCTGACCAAGCACGCGCGCCGCCACGCCAACTTCCACCCCGGCATGCTGCAGCGGCGCGGCGGGGGCTCGCGGACCGGCTCCCTCAGCGACTACAGCCGCTCCGACGCCAGCAGCCCCACCATCAGCCCGGCCAGCTCGCCCTGAGCCCGCCATAGCCATGAGCAGCCGCTCCCGCCCCCTCGTGAGTCCCTGGCCTTTCCTTTTGTAGTAAGAAGAGAGAGAACTCGATGCGAAGTCCACGAAAAAAGAATTTTCATCACCTCAGGTGTCAAAGTAAATTTGTCTAAAAAAAAAAAAAAAAACCCACAAAAATTTCAAAAACCACCACCCACCAATTGCACAATAGATAGACCCACAAAGTTGAGATTCAGCGGTGTTGAACCCCCTTTCTCAGGGATGGACACGTTCCACGAGGTCAGTGAGGACACCCCTTCCTGCCGCCTTACTCTGTACATAGATTTGCACTTTGGAGTTTTCTGTTAGGTTCGGGGACACACTGGGGACAGAGCAGGCCAGCCAGTCTGGAGCTCAGCGTCTGGCTGGCTGGCCAGCCTGTTGGTCTGTTGGGAGCAGACGTGGTCACTGACGTTTGTGCTTCCGCTGCAGATTCCTAAGCAGCGGGCCTGAGCTCTCCCTGCCTGCCCTACCCAGCCTCTGGCCTCTGCCCCACAGGCCTGGCCAGACTTCCAGCGCAGCTGATTCTGAGGGACAGGCCCCTGCAAAGGGAAGCCTTAAAGCTGTGCCGGCCGGAGGAGCACTCCACCTTGATGACTGTGGAGTGGGCTTTCAGCCCTCTGCGCCCTACCTGCCTCCCTCCTCGCCTCCAGGAGCCCTCTCCTAGGGCGCTTGGGAGCACTGGAAGCAGAGGTGCGAGCCGTGGTTGAACACAGCGCTGCACCATCTGGCCTCCTCCGAGGCAGGGGCTGGGTCACACCTGCCGGGATTCCACTTCTTTGTGTCCCTACGGAAGGCACGCGGGACCCCGTCACTATCATACCTGGGCCTCCAATGAGGAATTCTGGGCTTCTAAAAAGATGTCAGAAATTCCTGGTGGCACATCCAGTTCCGGAGTCCTCCCGCATGGGCACCTTTGTTGGAAACGGTGGGCAGGTCCTGGGGCCTCCTCATCAGAGGGTCTGTGTGCGCAGCTGTGCATGTGGCAGTGTACCGTGCTTCACAGAGAACATTCGGTAGCAAGAGACCGGAACATTGTGACTTGGACCTTTTCAGGAGTGGCGTGGATGTTACAGGAAATGCTGTTGGAGAGCGTGCATTCTGCTTCCTCCCCAGGGAACGCCAGATGGAAAGTTGTGGGAGACGCTTTTCTCAGACCCACCACATCCCCAACTCAGACTTAGCAAACCTCCGGCGTCTCCGTGTCCCCTGGACTCGTCCTCCCTTTTCTTCCTGCTTCTCCCTGCCCTGCCTGGAGGCCCCAGGCCACACCCAGCTGGTGTGGCTGCTCTGGTGCCCCATCACCGGCCTTCTCCTGGCAGGAGAGAAGGAGCGGAGAGCCGGGGCCTGGGTTTGAGTGCTGGGCAGGTCAGTCAAGCCGTGGTCCAGCAAGCTCCTCTGCAGATGGCTGGAGTGTTGACCCCAGGCTTGTGGCCCAGGTACCGCCCTCCCTTCTTCCTCAGAGTTGGGGCCTGTAAATGCAAGGGCCCAGGACAGTGTGTGTGTGTGCGCGTGTGTGCGTGCATGTGCGCATCTGTGTGTGTTGCGTGCATGTACGTATCTGTGTGTGCGTGCGTGCATGCATGTGTGCGCCTGCACACACGCATGTGTGTTGGGGGGTGGGGGGATTGGGGTGGACTCAGGGTATCTTGCCAGAGATACCTGTTTTGATGAGTACCTATTTTGATGCAAAGGAATGGCCCTGGGACCTCAGAGGGCCACAGGTGGCCTTCCTGGGCCCAGTGTGCCTTGGTTGTGGTCATCCTGCTTCTACCTGGCCCCACCACAGTGTGGGGTGCAGCACAAACCCGGGACCCAGGCCCAGCCGCTGGCCACTGTTTGGGCTGGCTCCAGAGTGGACAAGTGCCCTCTGTCACAGCAGCTGCGCAGGCACAGTATGGCATCAGGTGCCCGTTTCTCACTACTGTTTGTCAGCTGGCATTGGCCCGCAGCATGGTAGTAGCTTCCAGGTAGCACGATGGACCCTAAATTGGGCAGTAGCATTATTCCTGCTGCAGTGGGAACTGGCGGGGAGAGGGTCACCCCCGCTCTGGTTGAATACAGAGCTGGCCACTCTGGCTGCCGTGCTGTGTTTGGGCTCCCTGACAGCCCTGCTTGCATCGGGTCTGGAAGACAGAGTGGAATATTTGGTAGGGACCTTGACAGAAGAGAGCCCTGGGTGCTTGGGGTACAAAGATCTTCATGCCCAGTTCCAAAGTGAGGTCCCTCCCAAAGTTGTTTTCGTGTGAGGCAGAGAAAGCCACACTCTGAATACATTTCATGTCTCAGGAATTCACATTCCAGGTTCAGGAATTTTATTCCAAAGTCCTTTGGTGCACTCACCGTCCACCGTTCCCAAAGGCAGGGAGAGGGAGCAGCCCGTCCCTGGGAGGCCGGCAAAGTGCTCTCCAGGGAGGGGCCAGTCGTCCTTGTGATCTGCCCAGGGTGTCACGGCAGGAGATTTTCTAGCTTCACATCTGTCTGCACATAGGAAGGAAAAGATAGGACTCTAAACTTAGTCATCTTGGAATAAAAAGAAGAGCTGGTTTGTTTTAGAGCAGGGTGGGGGGTGGGGGAGGGAAGCGGGTGTTGGCTGTTTCCAAAGAGAGCACTTAATTTAATTTTTCCTTTAAATGACCCAGGGCTGTTCCGTCTGATAGATGGAAGGGTAACATTGCCTTAAAACAGAAATATGCAGGCGTTGGCTATTTTTGGCGTAAGAGTGTGTCTTCATTCCCAAAGTGGTTCTCGTTTAATGGCAGGGTGTGGTCCTTAGGCCCCGGCCTGGACTGGGAAATTGGGGGAGGGTACCAGGAGAGAAATCCCGAGGGGTCCTCCTGGCCAGACCCTCCTGAATCATCTGGAGCTTAAACTCATCTCACCTGAAGGGCGAGGAGAAATCCATGAATCTCAGGAGCAGTTCACCGGGGTCCTCATGGGCAGATTTCCATCTCACCATGAAGTGAGGGATGCCCCGTAGAAGAGGGTGGTGGGCATTGGAACGCTGCCACCACTGAAGCAGGCACACAGGGCGGCCCTCCGGAAACAGCCTTCGTTTTCTTCTTCCCAGCTTGCGTCTGTTTCAGCGTCTTCCATTTTTGTGGTTTATGGCCATGCTTGCCAGTGTTGATGGGGTTAAGGAATCAGTACTCATAGAAATAATACTGAAAACTCAAACCCTTATTTTGGGACTTCAGTTCTGGTGGTCCATAGGGGCAGAGATCTCAAAATGAAGGTTGCCTGAGTGAAGGGAGAGTTCCCCTATAAAAGGCCTAAATTGACTTCAGGCTGAGCCATCGGGGGCTGGTATTGCTCATGTCCCAGATAAGAAAGCTCCTCTTTACATCAGCCATATTAGGGGAATGGTTATCAGCTCCCCAAATGCCTACTGGATCCTACAGCCATACAGGAAAACAGATGGACACAGCCCTTTCCTCAAAGAGCCCTGGGGTCCTGTCCTGCAGGGTGCTACGTAGGAACATGCAGAGATGTCCTGGATGGGAACATGGTCCTGGAGGAGCCCTACCTGCATTCTGCTGCACCCCCACCCATGACTCTCGAGTGCAAGATCCCCTCACTCCCAACCCTGACTCGTTTCCCAGGCTCCACACTGAGGCAGGTGCAGGATTTGCCATGGTGCAGCCTCCAGGTACAAATGTGAGGCATGGCGACCCCAGGCCCTGCTGTACCCAGAGCACAGCTCAGACCAGTGAGGGGTCATTCAAAGGTAGGGATGAGCAGAGAGGGCTGGCCACTCTGCCTCAAGACTTGACCTCAAGTCTTCTGTCTCCCTGCACGGTGTGTCCAGAAAACCAGCCTCTTTCTTGCCAGAAACAGGTGCTAAGATGGACTGCACAGGATCCTGGTGCTCCCTAGGGAACCATTCAGGATCTCAGCTGGGCAGGGGTGCCCCCCAACAGGATGATGTGATCTGAGCAATAGTGTGGCCTTGTTTCTCTGCTACTGGTTGTGGCTATGTTTGCAGGGCTACCTGACTATTTTGACTTCCGACAGATGTCACTGATTTTTTTTCCCCCATTTAAAAAAGGTCATTTAGTCAAAGACTCAGTGCTAGAAGGTTTAAAAGGTATGTGATGTGTTGATCACATCGCAACCAGTAAGAACTGCTTTGTAGGTTATCTACATCTTTTGCTGTTTCCGTATACAATTCTGGTCACCATATTTTCCAAAGCTAAAATCTGAGGTGTAGGCTGATGGTTTTTGAAATCAGGATTAACCCAGGGAGAACCAGGTCCTATGACTAATTTTCCTGATTCTGAGGCTCTGAAGGCTTGTCTGAGACACATTCCAGAGACCTTTGTACCAGAACGTGGATGCACAGTCCAGCTTACTACTGACACGCCTGAGCACCCTTTAGGGTGAGGCACCACCTCCCGCCTGCTGTTCTTTCCCTCAGTATCAGAAGAGTTGAATTCGGCAGGAGATGGGAGCCCGGTCCACAAGGGAAGAGGAGCTGTGCTTGGTTTCTACTCACCCCCATGAAGATTTCGGACTTGCAGTGCGGCCGTGGGGGCCCTGCCCTGCCTCTCTCTTTCTCATACAGCTTTAAAAACTTTACTACTTTTATTTAAAAAGGAACTGGATGGGAGAGAAGTAGCGTCCCCAACCCTACAAGTCACACATTCCGGGGTGGAGGGGGGGCGAGGAGGGGGGGCAAGGAAACTGCTTTCTTCCAGGCCTCAGGGTCCTTGCTCCCTGACCTCTTCCTAGAGGGCCTGTGGACAGGCCACATTGCGTGCTCATTTGGAAAGCAGGTGTGTGAGCTGAATGACCGAGGCTACACACAGTGCAGGAGCCACTGTACCTGGCTACCTTGACAGGAGTGAGGGGCCACCTTCCATGTGGCTCTAGACACCACGTGGGCTCATCAGCTCCAGCGTCTGCCAGGTCCAGCTGCCTGCCTCTGGGTGTATGAGTGGGAGACTTTGCTCCCTGGCCTCTCCCTGGAGGGGCCCCTGGTGCCGAGTGCTGGGGCCTCGGGCTGGTCAGCCTCAGCAGGAGGGAGACTCTCCTGAGCAACTATGCATTGTCATTGTCGGGTTTGGGGCTTGCGGTGGTTCCTTGGTGACTAGGAATTGCTTGTGTGCATGTGTTGGGTGCATGCTTCTGGGTCTCAGCTGCCCCAGGCCCGCACAGGCAACCCCTTCCCATCCAAAGCCATTGGTGGAGCTTCTCTGGAATCGTTTGCCAAAAGCCCAAGGCAGAATCCAAGGGTCCAAGACCATTTCCATGGAGCTCATGTTTTTCTTTTCTGTAGGAACTTTTTTTTAACCAGCACCCACCGTAATTCTGAAGGCCATGTTTCATCTTTTCTGGATCACTACAGTGAAGTATTACAGTTGTACAGTTCCCAGTCTGGCCTTGGCTTGCTCGGATTAAACTTTGTATGTATTTTGTATGGCATAGATTCTATATTGTAATGATGTCCTATGCAAAAAGAAAAATTAACGAAATTGTAAATTTTATTGTTTTAACGTGTATGCATGTTTAGTGACGTTTACATTTTGAAATAAAATTTATGATTCATTATTTTATTTGCTGGAGCTAGTTTCTTTGAAGGGCATGTCTTACAGAGGCTCTGAGGGGAAGGGAACTGAAATGAACAAACTCAAGCAGTTGCAATTGACTGAGGGACTGAAGCTTGCCTGGAACTTAGTGGGTCCTATTCCGGAAGGAAGGCTTTGCAGAAGAGCTCTTGAAGAGAGTCGGTGCTACTTCTGGCTTCCCCTCCTGCCCATGAGAGGCTATTTCTGCTCATCACATTCCCACCCCTCTGTCCATCCTAAACAGCATGGAGGAGAAAGGGATGTGGTGATGACACATTCCCTCAAAGGGCACAGCACCTTTCCCTCACAGTCCCACAGAAACACCTGGACTTCTTTTCCTGGATCAAAGCCACCGCTTCTTTGAACGCTGGATACCCTGCTCGCCTCACCCTTCAGCCTAGAGTCTAGAAAACACCCCTGTTCTAGCTACCAAAGTTCCTCCAACTTACCATAGGCACTGACCCCAAAGTGTGCTGCACTGGGGACAGGTCCCGGGGCCCTGGGGAGTAGGAAGGCAGGTGTTGGTAGCAGAGCCCATTTAAGTCCCCACTGAACACTAACTGCCCCTGGCCGCCCCCAGGGCAGGTGATGTCCTCATTGGAGGCAATGGGAAGCCTGCAGCTATTGGAGGAGGTAGCTGCTGGGGTGGGGGTCTTCCACAGCATGTGGAAGGGAGGGGCCACAGTGCAAGCTCATTTGAAAATGAGCTGGTGTAGCCACATGTCAGCCTCACCCAGGGGTAGACTAGTGCTGCATCTAGGCTGTACGCTTTTCCTATGTGATTACCCATTTTGTTTTGCTTTTTGAAATGGAGTCTCTTACTCTGTAGCCCAGCTCTGTCACCCAGGCTGGAGTGCAGTGGCATGATCTCAGTTCACTGCAACCTCTGCCTCCCAGGTTCAAGCAATTCTCCTGCCTCAGCTTCCTGAGTAGCTGGGACGACAGATGTCTGCCACCACACCCAGCTAATTTTTGTATTTTTAGTAGAGACAGGGTTTTTGCCATGTCAGCAAGGCTGGTCTCAAACTCTTGACTTCAGGTGATCCACCCACTCAGCCTCCCAAAGTGCTGGGATTACAGGAGTGAGCCACCTCACCTGGCCCGTGGTTACCTGTTCATAGGATAAATGAAAATCACCACAAAATGTAAAGTATTACTAACAAATACAGGCATTGCAGTTGATCAGACATTGTTTTTCCTGAAGCTAACCTGACACCAGCTGGCATTTCCTGATGAACATTTGTTTTCTGTATTATAGACTGGGAGGAGGGAGGCGTGAAATGAATGCACCCAGGCACATACTGAACAGTCATAAAAACAAGCACACATTTTCAAACAAAAGTCTTTTTGGTACCGAGACATTTGGAGCCCATTCTTGGTTGGAGTATTTTCCCAGGGCAGCCACTGTTCCGCCTTCTCAGAGCCATTTATTGCTCAGGAACTTCCCCAGATAGCAACAACTACAGGGTGGATCTGCTTCCATAAATAGTTGTGTGCCGAGAGGATCCCAGATGCTTAAAAAATATTGACAGGAAAAAAAAAAAACGCCTGTCAGTTATGATGTCACTGCTGAGATTTGAAACCCTACTGGGGTTTCTTTCCAGAAGACTGGGAGCCCACCATTCATGGAAGCCCCAATCTCAGGAAGTAGGGGTGTCTTAAGGCCTTCAGAGAACCCCCGTAATGTAAGAGGGCAGAAAAAAAGCAAGCAATAGATTTCCTGGTGTTTGAAGAACAAATGTCTGAGTGTGTGTGGCATGTGCATAGCACGTTTTCTCCTCATTTTCTTTTTGGATCAGGTGACAAAGCAGTTCTGGATGGTGGGGAGGGTCTGTGCTGAGCAGACATGACAGTGTCCTGGAGGCAGGGCTGAGGGGTCAGCCTCAGGACACTCCTGGGCCTGACCCTTTTTGCATTTTTCTCAGGACTGGGATTAGAAGTGAGGTTTGTGGTGGTTAGGTGAAGCACTGTGTCTGGCTGTGTAGTGACCAGGAGAGGAGAAGCATCTGGTGAAGGGCGGGAATACACTCCCCCAAAGGACAGAGCCTGGCGAAGCTCACAACGACACCTGCCTCTCTAAAGAAGGACTTCGGGCTGGGTGCGGTGGTTCATGCTTGTAATCCCAGCACTTTGGGTGGCCGATGTAGGCAGGTCACCTGAGGTCAGGAGTTCAAGACCAGCCTGGCCAAGATGGTGAAACTCTGTCTCTACTAAAAATACAAAAATTAGCCGGATGTGGTGGCGCGCGCCTGTAGTCCCAGCTACTTGGGAGGCTAAGGCAGGAGAATCACTTGAACCTGAAAGGCGGAGGTTACATGAGCCGAGATCATGTCACTGCACTGCAGCCTGGGCAACAAAAGCGAAACTCTGTCTCAAAAATAATAAAGCACTCATCCTGGGCAACAAGAGCAAAACTCCATCTCAAAAATAACAAATAAATAAATAAATAAATAAAGCACTCATCCTGGGCAACAAGAGCGAAACTCCGTCTAAAAAATAAATAAATAAATGAATAAATGAAGCACCCATCTCTTGGTGCCAGCCTGTAGGCAGTGAGCACCCTGTTGCTGGAGGCATTCAAGCAGGGGCTAAAACACTGCTTGCCAGGAATGCCTTGCAGGGACTGGTGTTCTGGAAGGGGACCCGGTTAGCATTCAGAGGATGGGCCACAGTATTTTCCAAGGGGACTCATTGGGGTGTAATCATCAAGACCCCCTGACACTTTCTCCTAGCCTTGTCAGTCATGGTGGGGTGTGGACTGGCCTTTTTTGGATTGTGTTTGGCTGCAGAAGGTCTTGAATAACATGTTAGGTAACGTGTAGCTTATTCTAGGGATATACGTGGCTCAGTCACCCCCAGTCAAACCTCATCTAGGCCATGATAAAATTCCTGCCATTAGCACCACTCCTAAAAGGTTGTCTACATGGAAAGCAGTAAAGACAGGCGGCTACTCCTGGCATTACTGCTATCTCTGCACCAACTTTCCTCCACCGTCACGTATCAGAGACCAGTATTCTAGTGGTACATTGGACAGGCAGGTTTGGATGGAAGACAGTGTTGGAAGCACAGGACCTGTATTAATTACCAATTGTTGGCAGGGCATGGTGGCTTATGCCTATAACCCCGGCACTTTGGGAGACCAAGGTGGGCGGATCATAAAGTCAGCAGTTCCAGACCAGCCTGGCTAACATGGTAAAACCCCATCTCTACATAAGATACAAAAATTAGCTGGGCATAGTGGCGCACACCTGTAATCGCAGCTACCCAGGAGGCTGAGGCAGGAGAATTGCTTGAATCCAGCAGGTGGAGGTTGCCGTGAGGGGAGATCATGCCACTGCACTCCAGCCTGGGTGACAGAGCAAGACTGTCTTGAAAAAAAAATGCCTATTGCAGCTGTAACAAATTACCATAAGCAGCGGCTTAAAGCAGCACAAGTTTATTCTTTTACTCTCATATAGCTCTGGAGGTCAGAAGTGCAAAACAAGTCTTCCAGGGCTAAAATCCAGGTGTCAACAGAGCTGCTTTCTTCTAGAGTCTGTTTTCCTTTCCAGCTTGTAGAGTCCACCTACATTCCTTGACTTGTGGCCTCCTCCACTATCGTCAAATCCCGCAGAGTAGCATCTCCTCTCTGACCTCCTAAACTTCTTCTTATAAGGACTCCTGTGATTACCCTGTGTAGCTGGGATGTGGCTGCACATCAGGCTGTCCCTCACCCCCAACTAGTCCAGGATGAGTCCCCCATCTGTCCCGGCCTTCATGTCCTTCCTGCACTCCCCTGGGCTGGGGAGAGGAACGTGGAAGCTCGGGCTACAGGGCTCGATGAACTCCTGCATGGTGGAAGGAGCCTGCATCCCACTCTCCATGGCCGCAGCAAGGGCCACAAAACAGTTGAATTAAACTGGACTGAGCATCTCTTCCATCTGTGTTTTGTCATCCTTTATAGTATTCCCCTTCAACTATTCAGCTTTAAAAAGTAGGAGTAATAATAAAAATAATTGTCACTGCACTACAGTTCTGAAAAGCGGATCAATTCTTGACGACCTGCACCCCGGTTCACCTGCCGCTGCCTGCACAGCCCTTGCTCTGGTCAGTGGCCACACAGTGTTGGAGAAAGGTCTGATATCTCTGTGTCAGACACAGTGGGGCCTTCGGCTCTGAGCAGCCTGCCACGCAGCTGTGGAAAGAAGTCCTTCCCTAAGCCTTGCCCTCTTCATCTGGGAAGCAAGCTATGCATGGTCTGTGTGGGGTCAAGGTGAAGTTCACAGCGGGGTATGAGATGTCATTGCTGGGAACTGTGCCCCTGCCAGATACCCAGCCGCAGCCAGGCCTCCACTCTCAATCGCCACTGGGAAGTTATCACTGTGGACAGAGACTGGGACCGACCCAGGACACTGAGGAAGGCTGCCCCAGCCTGCCCTCCCTGTCCCAGAGGCCTGCCTGGCAGCAGCCACTCAGCGGGTCCTGGACCAGGAGCTTGCTTGCTGAGCTGTGTCCTCTGAGCACTCTCAGAGGGAAGTGGGAGTAGTCCCAACTTAAAGCTGCAGAAGGCACAAGGCTCAGAGTGGTAAAGTGGCCTTCTCAAGGTCACACAGCTGGCAAAAGTTGAGAGACCCTAGTCTGATTAGACGACTGCCCACAGCTGCCTTTTAACCTCTGGGTTAATTAAATAATGGCTTCTAACCTGTCTAGGGGTAACTTTGTCTCTTCTCTGGCATTGTGGGACAGGCCCAGAAGGCTGGCGGGCCCTAGGACACAGAGCTGGCCACTTAGCATTTTTCTGGCTGCTGCATTTCCGAGGCCTGAACACTGGCCAGTCTTGGGCCTGCACCTGGCAGCCCAGTTTGTCCAATGTAATGTCCTCTAAGATGATAAGTAAGCTGTGCTCAAGGGGGGGCCAGTCCCAGGCACCATGAGGTTCAGACCTCCCTTCAGGGCCCACCAAGCAGCCGGGCAAAGCCCTTTCCCCTGCATTGCTGTGACTCCCTGTG